ACTTCCCATTTCATTGTATCAGTAGAGAGAGATTATCAAATGCTTTCTGCTGATCATACTAATTCACAGCTACGTATATACCTCAGAAATTAAAATCTTCTGAGAAGACACTTTTGAATTCTTCCATCATAAGCCATATTTCACTTTTTAAAGGTCAAGCTATAAACCTGCTTGTTTAAACATGATAAGTGATTTGATCATTTAATGCATCGCATATGACCGTTTACTCATTTCTATATAATAAATCGATTTGCACACTTTTAATTCTTAAATCATTGAAGCATAGTCATTCAAGCACTGTCCTTGAACGAATGAATTGTCAGAGAAAGCACACAGTATAATTTCAAAATGATTGAATAACATTATCTAACAGCTGTTCTCCTTTTTTTCATCTAAAAGTATTACATTTAAGACAGCAATTTTTCAATAATAGTGAAAAAATAATAGTTAAAATAATAGTGTAAAATTCCATACGCACAGCTGTCTAAAATTACAGATCATATCTATTGTAGAATCTCAGTAAAGTGAAACCAAATTTTGAATATGTCATTGCCAGCTGTCTACGATGGCCGTGTCTCTTCTTTTTTTTTCATCCCTACATTTTCTGCTTTTGTATTTATTAGGTCTTTGAAACATCTTCCCTACCCAATTATGTCTTGATCAAAATAATTTAGTAATAAGCAAGAGAAGTTATACATTTATGGCTAAAGGTGCAAATGATCCTCTAGCATCGAAGAGAAGATATCACAGAATAAAACCGTAAACGTAAATGTTGTTAGTCACAATGCCGATGGCTCGATCGGCTGTCCTAACAACCAGTTAACCGCAGCAGTGCCCCATAGATTTGTTTTAAGCTATATGATGAATAAAGTAGAAAACTTCCAAATTGAATTAATTAAAATAAACCGGAAGACACAATCCTGATTACATTAATCCTAGTATACAAATTCAAGTAATTTCGAGTAATTCTTGATAAAATAAAAAAGAACCTATTCAGAAATAAGATTAGAATATATTCACACAGAATCTTCCACAACGTATTCGGATTGAAAGAATCATAGAAGGTCTCCATTTAGAGAACTTCATGCTTGATATCACTTTAAAGGAATTATGATAAGTTGCTGTTACTGTGCAATCATCAGTGATCCTAATCTTTTTCATCGCATAGAAGGCGCTAAGATTAAGCGAAGTAATGCTGAAGAAAATGATTTCCATTCACAAAGAAGATGAATCAAAACAGGGATATTCTTCTGATTTGTGTGATAATATGATAACGTCGTCGAACCTGATCACCTTTGTCAATCAGAAATAAAGAGAAGAAAAAGTAAGAAGAAGGCGAATTAAAGAAAAAGAAATTTCATTATAATCCTCATCTGATGGCTGCAAAACTCCAAATCCTTCTAGCGAAATCATAGCAAAGCGTAATAGAAATCGATGAAAGAAGTTCTAAATGAAATATGTGAAAAATTCGAACAACAAAACATAATGTAAAGCATTCTAAGAAAATATGAGAGAAAATTAGGAGGAGAAAGAGTCAGTTAACAAATCATTAATGCTTTATAATAGAATCAATAAAGAGTGAAGATAGTAAAGACGGTCTGAAAATTCTTCGCATTTTTAACAATATGAAACAAAACAATTTTAGATTTGTTTCCATCATTTTTTGATTGAATGAATAATTTTTAAAATGATACTCAAAATTATTCTAGCTCCAAAATAAATGTGCAATGCGAACTGCTTTTCACTTTTCACTGCATACCAAACTGCATTTCACTCTCTATTCCTTTCTCGTCGTATCCTGTGATATACAGTCCGTCCCGCTTGCCTTCTTTCAAATTATTTTCTAAGCTAACTTCTTCATCTGGAATTTTGTCGTACAGCGTAGTTAGTTCTCCGATTGTTTTGTCATCGGTAGTGAAGAGTTTAACCTCACATGTTTCTTGATGCTAATAAAACAAGTACATATAGAAACCAAAATCTTTGTATTCAGAGAAACAATTTGGAGCACACAAAAATTTCAAACTTTGTTGGAAGCTTCATTACGGAGAAGTTCAATGAGTTTGAAGAAGTAACCTGAGATATTTAGCAAATAGTAGCGAGTAATAGCAAATAAAGTAGCAAATAGTAGCAAGTAGTAGTAGTAGTAGTAGTTGGTTGTTGGTTATTGTTTGTTGTTTGTTGTTTGTTATTTGTTGTTTGTTGTTTGTTGTTGTTGTCGTTGTTGTAGTATGTTCAGAGGATAACTGCTACTGCAGGTACGTTCAAAGTATAACTGCAAGTAAATGGAAAAAAAAAGTTTGAAAGTGGAGAGCAAACCATATCAAACTAACTCATTCCACAAAAAAATGGATGTCCCAATGAAAATCTTTGAATGGCAAAATATGAAAATAGAAATATCAAACGATTCTACAGCAAAATGAATGGATTCTGACGATGCAAAAAACGCACCTTAATCAAACAACATTCAGTCATATCATCGTATGATGAGTAAGCGTGAATGAGGCTAGCAGAAACAACGCATCAAATTGATATGGCAGCGAGCAGAAGCATCGATTAAATCCTATTTTATGAAAAGTTATAGGGAATCTTAAAATGGAGCTCAAATCAAGTAAAGGCTGACAATAATTTTGTATCCGGATTTACAACCATTTAATAAAACGATATAAACATGCAGAAATCTTTATGACAAACGTTGGATTCTACTCATAATGATCTTCGGATTAAATTAATGAGACTTAACTATGAAAGGATTATTAATCGCAGCAAATATACTGTGCTACAGCATTTATAATCAGGCGTTTCTTTATGTCCATTCAACAGGCCTAGAAGTAAACGATATTGCGACAAAGTTTTTGTGAAAAAATGAAATATTTGGCTTCGAATGTCACTGCTAAAGTATAATTTTCGGTTAAAAACGTAGGATAAAAAAGAGAAGTTAAACATAAGTAAAACAAGTGGGAAAAAATAATGAATTGATCTTAGCACCAAAATAGGAGTGCGTTTGAAGATGGCCAAAGAACGTCAATTATATTGTTGAATTTTTTATTAATTTTAAAAAATACGAAGGAACAGAATACGAAATTTAGTTACCATATGGTTATATTGGGCCGGTAGTTAGTTATTTTTGACAAGTAGAAAAGTCGTGCATGTTTTATTCTGCGAAGACTGGCAAATTAGTTTCTAGCACAACTTAAGATATCTCATCATATCAAAAAGGTTGGCATCCAACTATAATACAACTACCACTAAATGCAAGTAAAACAATTCCCAATTTTTTCAAAAAGCGCCTATTCAAGACCCCTACCTCCTAAATGAAAAATGCATCATTGCTCATCAATAAGAATGGAAAGAAAACTGTTTGAAAATGGCTTGATGACTAAGATTAATAAAGCAGACACTTTTCAACAGTGCAAACCTGATAGGTTCGCATAGGTGCAAGTCGCTCTATCCTTTTTAAAGCGCAAAATATCGCAAACACGTAATAGATGTGACATTTAGGTCAACTCAACCTAAAAAATGCTACGAACATAAAATCTTGAAAGAAACGTGGAAGAAGGGTAAACATAAGACGAGGAAAATGATATAATGGGTTGTGTTTCTTCTAGAATCCTCCACTACATTTTTACCATCCTTAAAGGCCATCCGATCGAGTGTGCAAATAATTAGGTGAAGAAGCTAGCGATCGATCTGCATATCCATCTACTAAATTCCCAATTTGAAAGGAAAAAAATGACAATGCAACTCTTTTCCTTCCCCTTTTTTGAATTTTTCCCTCTTCACTGTTTCGAATAAAAGCAGTTAAAATAGATTATAAAATCGTCAACAAGTTTCTGAATTTTACACTACACCTGAAAACATCATGAAAAAATTGGAGCTTCACGTTTTACTTGGGTATCAATAAGTGAAATGCAGAATGAATTCACATATGCACAAGTATGCCAATAAACACCATCACCAGCACGTGGAATACATCAGCTAGCTAAAAGCGAAAGAAAAAAGAAAACGCTTGGAAAGATTTTGAACTAATCTCAAAGAATTGCTTAATACATTAAGAAATGAAACAGTTTCGGAAGAATTGTAATTTCGATTTTTAATACCAATGGAATAATTTCCAAGCAAAGTTCATTTCTTTTCGAATTTCTCACAAAAACTCGATTTCCTTCATGGCTTTTTATCCTAATAAACCTTGTACTATAATTGGGAAAATAATTTCAGAATAATTTTCGGACGCTGCCCAAGCCATAAGTTTGAGTAACATTATTAACAATAATCTAATCAACCAGTACAGAGTAACTGTTACAACATAGTTACAACACAATAATTTTCAAACTAGCTATATTTCAACTGTTTTCATCCATTCTTCAGCCGTGTTTAAAGAAAAGGTTTTAATTTCAAACAACAATCTGAAAGACCCATAATATTTCTATAGATAGTAGATTCTCATTGACACAAGAATTGAACAAGACACTGCTGAAAGGAAGGAAGGCAAGATTAATGAGTGTTGCAATTTTCAACTTGGATATTGACCATTCTTGTCAAGAAGGATGAAAAAATCTTCCAAAAACCGAAAAATATAAATCATAGCTATGAAATTTTAATCAACTTCATTTCTCTTCCAAAGCAACAAATATTTCAGACAGTCCCGTTTTTAATTTCCCAGTTAGACATGAAAATTAATTATATCACTGCTTAATATCTGATTTCTGTTCATCCAACCAACACATTCGAATGATCACCTCCTCCTATGTTGGAATGTAACCATTTCCACCTCGATCCTTCCTAAATTTCTCTTTAGAAGGACCATTTCTGTGTCCCATATTCCGATTTCGAAGTCGAAATAACGAATAAGGACGTCCTGATTTACATTTTTGATGATACAAAAATTGATAAGAAGGTCCAGCTGATAAATTTTCGACGCATTCAACGGCTTCGATATTTTCTTTCTGCTGAGATGATTTTGCAACGGGCCGTCTTTCAAACACCTGCAATAAACAGTTGAATATTTCAGGAAATTTTATGAAGACTTCCTTAAATGAAAAAAACTGCATCAGTAAGCCTCGGCCAAACACACAACTGACATATATATCGGCCTGATTGAAGTTGAAGATCAGTTACTATATATTTAGCTCACCTCGAAGTAATGTGAAATGAAACAGTGGTATTCTTCCAAATCAGCGGTTCTCACACGCGCAGTCTTTCCTAGGACTCACAATAAACACAACAGTGAAATTACAAACGAAGGAACTATGATCACGTGATCTTTAAAACAATGCCGATAGTTGAAGGCCGCAACCTCAATGAATTTGTTACGTGAGCCAGAACTTCAGTAACATAATGAGAAGTGTAGTAGTGAAAGGTATGTATAGTAGTAAAAGGTATTAATGATACCACTCAAAAAAAAAAACTAAGAATAAGTTAAACTCACAATATCATCAGTGATTAGATAACGCTTCCGTTCCACCTCCGGATCGATTAAACCACCTTTAGCCTTCTGTCGTTCGAAAATTGGCTGTAATTCTTCTAGCTTTGTTCGCCATTCTTTCCAGTTAAATTCAAACTTTTCTTCATCTCCAATAATTTCATCCAAAGTGATCGATTCCCGATCAACTACTGATAAATCCTGTTCACTCAGTGGTGTTCGACATACAGGACATTTTAAAACCTTTAAACGCTTTAAGGTTTATCTTTCTATTAGCGAATTAGAAAGATTTAACTTGAAATGGCTTTAATTATGGAATAATTTTTGCTCAAATCCCTCATGCATCACATCTCAAAAATATAATTTTCGCTCAAAATTTTTGTGCATCTCACTATATCCCAAAAATCATATCTTCATCAGGTGGTATCATTAGATTTAGAGATCAAGTAACAAAATTTACACCTGATCCACTTTTGACTTCATATCTTCTGGCCATTCACTAAGTTCTCGCTTGATTTCATCTTCTGTATAGTTTACGTAACGTACAAAACAATTCTGATGAATATAATGGTCACAGTTTGATGTGCAAAAAACGCTAGTTTCAGCGCTAAATCCGTCCAAGCACACTGGACAAACAGCGCATGGAAAATTTTGCTCAGTTTCCACAAATTTTTGGATCATCTGGAAATATTCCAGAATATATTATTTAAAAAAAGTAGTTGAACAATTCAATGCTCATTTCAACGGAGTTGTATAGTCGTAAGTGTACGAAACCAGCAACAATAACTACCATTAAATTTTCAACCAATTACCAGCAGTATCAGTTTTAACTACAAAAGCAAATAGAAATGAACATTCTAACTTGAAAGATATCATAAAGGATAGGCATATCCATATTGGCTTCAGTATACTCGTAGATTCTTTTCTGAAGAATATTTGCATTGTTTTCATCAAGTCCTCGCTGCTGTCGTAAATAAATTTTTGGAGATATTCTCGGGTACTGAAAAGCATTTATTATTGTCCAAATCAAAAGTCGGAGATTCAATATTAGTTTAAAAATTCGACTAACAGAGCTACTTTTGACCACGCCAACAGTTAGAATTTACCTGCTCAGGCAATTCGATAACAACATGAATACTCGCTGCACACAGTGATTGCGATAGTGCTGATCGTATTTTCATGCTTAATACTATCGTTGGAGAGCTAAAATTCACGAAAACAATAACTTGGAAAAACTGATGATGAATTACTTATCCAGAATTCTGGTTTTTAAAACTAATGCTTGAAAATATGATACACTCGCAGCAACTGAATGACCGTCATCATAACAATTAACATATTAAACCATCGCTCCTGAAACTATACATAACTTCCAAAAATGAAGAGCTGGGAAATTAGCTTTCCGTTTCAAACTAAAAAAAACGATGAGATTACTTCTTTGAACTTCTCTCGACTACGAGTTCATCACCATATATGCTCTGCAGTATCTCAACTTCCTCCTCGGCCATTATTAAATTTTACAATCGTTGACCTTCGGAAATCTCCCCTGTAAAACAAAGATGTAGTATCATTCCCACCGCACCGTAGAACAGGCTAAACACTGCCTTGTCTAAAATCAAGTGACCATCAACTTCGTGTCACTAAATACCAATTCTTATTTTTGTATATCGAAGTAACCAATTTTTAATTCTCGCCGGATTTTACACATGTCTCCCACAGTTTGCTTAAAATTTATTTGGATTTAAACTGAAATATGCGGCGGCAAATAATCCTATTCTACTAGCATAATATAAAGCTCATCTCATTAATAAATTTATTAATCGTTACTTTTCAACGGAGAAATATAAAAACATGGCAATTGTTGTATGAAGTATCGTTAACAAAACAACAAAATACGACAAATGAAAGGGCTGTGATTAAGATAACCTCTTAATCGTGACTAGCGAGATTTTTCATCAGCACATAAATATCATGAACTGCCGTTTCAGAGTTGTTAGATTCTTATCATTAATCCCTAAAGTTATTCGCAGCACGATCAAACATTTTTTAACAGTTTTTTTCAAAATGGTTAAAAATGACACAGTAAATAGGAGGCTGCAATGAATGATATATATATAAATGACATTCTGCAACAGATACTACAAACACATGAAGAGAAAAAGAATTTATTGTCACTCGTGGATTAAATAGATAATCAATTCTTATTCAATCCAAATCGTTCTGCGCGTTTCTGCTTTTTTATTTCCAACTGTAAACAATTAATAATAACTAAAAACATCCAGAAATGAATTCAGCAGTTCACTTCTCTTTGAAAGAAAAATATTCTTCAATAACACTTGATGAATGTCACTTTTCTGACGGTGATAATTTCGCCAAGTGACCTGTTCATCACTAGCAAACAAAATTTGCAAATGTAAGGGAAGCAAGGAAATATTCAAAAACTTATTTTGTAACTGAACTGTATTGTTTTTATTAACATTACTGATTTTTGTCATCAGTGATGTACTAAATGCAAAGGAAGAAGATACCTCTGCTTCTTCAGAGCATAAACCGAAACGTTTCCCACGCCTTTCTAATACCTCCAATGAGGCTTTCTCAACTTTACCAGTAATGACCGCATTGCTTTCATTATCAATGCCAAATCTGTAATAGGAATAAAATAGTACTATTAATCTAGTCAATATGATACTTGCGCAAAATCTGAATTTTAAGATTTTGAATTCTTTCCGTCTTCGATATCAATACACAAAAGATCACTTAACTCTAGCCATATATACCAGCAGTTACCTTTTAGCTCGTCTATCTAAAATTTCCTGCATTTTTTCAGTCTCGCTGACAATGCCAAATCTGCAATCCATTCATGATTTGATTTCATTTCTTTTCATGACAATGAAAAAACTAGTTTCCCTATATTTACAAAGGACTTTTTCCCATGAAGTTAAATTTCGCACTACACAGCATTCAGCTAAAAGAACAAATTATCAGAATTTTTTTACTTCAACGAAGACCAATTATTTGAACAAGTACAGCATTATCTGAACAAGTCCTCAGCAAGTACTATATAATATGATTAGAATTATCGTGCTTGGCTAAAACATAGTATTTCAGATTAAATTGTTCTTCTACGAAAAATTACAAATAAAATATTTCAGGAAATTTAAACACGCAAACCTCTCTGCTCTCTTTTTCTTTTTCTCTGTTAGGATTTCACCGATGCTTGCATCTGCACTCAACTGCATGCCGAATCTTCAAAAAAAAAAAGGAAAAAAAAAGAAACTGGATGGTTAACATTTGACTATATACGCAGTATGCGAAATTTATTATTCCCAAAGAAAATGATAAATCGCTACGACTTTTGTCACAATTTATAACTCAAACCATTAATTGGTCACTATTTGTTGGATTCAAGCCAAAGCGAGTTACCGAACCGCACATGAACTTAAAATCTATTCCCATGTTATAGTTTTACAAAAAGTGATATAATTACCGTTCAGCGCGTTTCTGTTTCATTTGTTCATCGCACAACGGCAAACCGAAACGTTGAGCTCGTTTCAGCTTGGCATCCAATGAGTTAATCATTGCTTCTGTTTTCTTGTTCATTTCAGCTAGTTGATTATTTCTGGACGCCCCAGCTACATATAGTGATGATGTCATTACTGATGCTGATGGTATCGCTGTAGTTGAATCTTCCTGAAAAAAAGAAACTTCATTATCAAAATTTTTGAAATGAATGAAGATGCCAAACATACTTTGAGCAACAACTCAAGTTTGTTTTTCTGATGCAAAGTATCAGAATTCCGTTGCTTTGCAAAGTAATCAATAGCTACGTATTTTCCTTCAAAATGAAAGAACTTCAGCTCATTACTTTTCCTCTTGCTACTAAAACTTGTTTTGTATTAAAATATTATTCTGCAGGCATTACAGCATCTCGACTATTGCCAATGCTGCAGTTCATACATATTGGTTTTAGGTTATAAGAGTCATCCCGCATTGATCTGTAAGCCAATTATTGAGTAGGACCACACATAAATGAATAAAGAAAGGAGGGTGTTTTTTTTAATTTGCCTCCTCCCTTTGTAAAAGCAGAAATCGACCTACAGAACACACTTCTCAACCGTCTTCCAAAGATGCATTTATCAATTTATCTGTCGAATAAGATCGTTTAGAAATATTTCGAAAAAGAGTGGAAAATTTCTTTTTTCCCTCTGAAAACCTATTAGAAGCATTCCTCATTTTGTGATTTATTAATTGTATCGAAAGAGTCAAAGTCAACAGAGTATCCTGCAGCTGTTTTTCTCTAGTGGAACTAGGCTAGTAGTTCTCATTACATAATACAACCTACAGTGCGCAAAAAATACGCTCTAATTTGGTTTCTCTAAATTTCTTGTGAACTCAGTGAATATAGAGTCTTGGTTGGATTGTGACAGTCTGAAATTATTAAATAGCAAACATACCTTCTTTTTCACTGAAGTATCTGGTCCCAAAATGTCGTCTTCATTTATTGCACCTTCCAGCACCGTTTCCTCTATAAAATACTCATCTGCACATACACAAAAATTTTAAGCTGCAAACCGAACAGTACCGTAAATGGGCATTCTGAGAGACTTGATAAGGTAAACAAAAACGTTCAGTTTAATTAACTTTATCTATGGAAATGAATAATCCAGAAACCAAAACAAACCTACGTAACCACAAATAAAATTATCCAGTTACGGAAAATCTGACTTCCACGCTTACCAAAAACACCAGAAAAAAAGAATATTCTAAATAAAATTATGGCACTACTCAATTCACCTAGGCTGTCCTTTGAAGCACTGACATCCGAATTCAGTATCGTATCTTCAGCAGCATAACTTCCTTTGAGACGTTCGATTAACCCAACCTTCGTACCATCTGTTGGGAGACCGCGCGATCGTAGATGCTCACGGAGCTGAACAACCTGCAAACTCAAGCTAACAATCTATAAATAAATAGCTGCATATACTGTACACTTTTTATTTTTATTCGGATAGCTTCAATGGTTTATACATAGCAAATATAAATTTTTAATATCTATCGCCTGGCTATCTAATTTGAATTTGGAGTCTATTTACAGTACCACATCTGCAAATATACTTGACATCGAAGACATTATCCAAAAACTTACAGACAGAATCCACTGATTTCAGAATTCAGTTTTAAATCTTTCACTTTCTTTCTAGCACTGATCACATCCAACGAACTATAAACCATAAAATCTTATACGAAGCAAAAAAAACAAGTAGTTTCAAATAATTCAAATACCGTCATCTTTGATAGGTCCTTTGTCGACATTGTTGAGTTTGTATACTCTCAACAGTAATCCCTTAAACCTGAAGTAACTGAAATCCTGCCCTAAAATTTAAGAAGCGCTTCAGTAAAAATAAGTGTGAAAGGACTCGACAACACGACGTTTACGCGAACTTTTCTACTACTTATGCTAATAACGATATCCAATAGACCACAATTATATTTCAATTTATTCCTTATGGGTCAGTGAGAACTGAAACCCTAAGAGTATCAATGTCTCTTTCGAAAAAAAGCACAACGCAATCTATCAAACAAATATCACTATTTCTGGACTGATTATAGCTACTTCAATCTTCTCTTCCACTATTTCCACCCTTAGGAATTAGAGAGTAAAAGTCCACAACCATCGCATCAATCCCGAAACGCTTCTCCCCTCTCTCCTGTCTCCTCCCCAGAACATACCACACCACGAGACCTCCTACATCAGTTCCCAACATCACGTGGTCCATCAAACCGTATTGCTGAATCACGAACTCCTTTCAACAATATAATCCGAAATGAAAACAGACTGACTTCCAGACCCACTATACTAGTTACAAACAAGATATTTTCCACTGCTGGTGCTCAAGGAGGTTTGTATTTGTCGGTTATCAGTGGTTGAACAAATCCTTATGAATGTATTGTTGTGATGTGTAAATCACATATGTAAAATCACATATCTTATTTTACACATATCTTACTAGCAATTCATTGACGATGACAAGAGAACTGCACCGCAGTTAGCTCCTTTAACTTTTCAATTAAATGACACTTTAGCATTCACGTTAAATCTCTACCGAAATCAGCTTTCTTTTTTCCACGGGAGTTATCGAGAAAGCCGTGTTTTGCTGGGAAAGTTCTCGTTGTTTTATTGGCTAGCAACGAAGAATAATTCTGCGGAAGGCTTGTTAAGTTTGGAATATTTATTCTTTTTTAAAGTAATAAACAGACATCAACGAATAATATGGTTAGAGTCAATTACTAGACTGGTTTGGAAGTCCTTATTAAAATATTTGGAGCATGCCGCTAATCGAGGAGAGATAACGATGGGAATGAACTAAGTGATCGATTCTCCTGTTTATTTAGTGCGAATGGTTTAAATATTCCATTATTTCTTTAATAGATCAGAAGAAGGTTACAATAGAGGAGCTTGTTGGCTACAGTAATTTGGTATAAGAATATAAGTTTTTCTCGGTAAATATACTGGAATATGTTCAAACAAGGAATGTTGTCAGCATCACATAAACCTTATATCTGTGATCCAGACATTGCAATTAAAATAAAATAATAAATCGGGTTTTCTATAAAAATATGCCGGTTTTTCCGACATTCCCGACTGACGAAGATTAAAGACCTTCAAGGAAGGAATTATATAACAAATCAATGGCAGATGAAAATTTTTAATGTGCCAAGTTTGACTATCAATTTAAGGGATGGAAGTTAAACAAATGATTCATTGCTTTAAGATCGAAACATTTATATTACATTATTTCTGTCTACTGAATCATTCATCTAAAAAATATTCAAATTAAACAGACTTTTAAAGACCATATTCATATTGTTATAAATCTACATCGAGGTATTTACAATATAAAACGTTTGATCTGATAAAATCGGGTTTTCCCGATACTTCCGATTGAAGGAGATTAAAACCTTCAGAAAAGGAATTAGCGAAAGATATTTTGTTTGAATTCGTCGTTCTGTAGCACCCCAGTTCGTGAAACGATTGGTTCTTGTTCATCAACTTCCCGAGTTGTTTTCTCAAATGCTGCTAATTTGAAATTCCAGAGGATATAACAAATTACTGGCCTGATAAGTTTTCCATAAGGCATTTCTAATAGACGTTTCTTGTTTGTCCATCTTTATCTCTTTTTATTTCCTTTATTCTGACCAATTTCCACGATCACGAGGAATTTCGGGTTCATTAATCACAAAATTTCATTCAACAATTTCGTTCTAACATGGCATTCTCAATTTTAAGGGAAATATCTTCCCTTTGCTTACATTCTCTAAGATTAATTAAAATACTCATTCCTTCATATTTTCCAGAGTATATCAAGGTTTTGAGGGCGTTTAACCAATACTTGGTAAGTCTTTTCTTTGAATTTAGTTTATGAGGAATAAATTCGTCGTGGTCGTCGTCTTTGGTAGTGAGTTTGGAGAAGCGTTAGGTGAGATGAAATCAAAAAGGCATGATGACGTAGTCATCAAAATTTACATAATTTAGTAATCAGGTATTGAGTATACCTTTTATTTCCACCATTAAAATGATAAGCTTTCTTTCCTACAACAATTTTTCATTTATAGCTTTTCTCACTGTTGTCGAAAAACAGAAAAATTTCACGATATGTTGATACAATCAAAAGATTTGTGTTACAGAATTCCAGTACAAATGTTGTTTAGAATATTTCCCAGATAAAGGATTCGTCACACAAAAATAAGATAAATGTTTTTCTGTACCTAAAGTGGTGAGTCATTTATCTACAAATCGTGTGAAAATGTTTTAATCTTATAAGGAATCTGATGGTAGGAACATTGCACATATCCAGTAAACTAATTCACATTTATTAATCTTTTATGTAAAGTTTATGTATTTTCGCCTATTCAAACATCTGGATTATATTCGGATTTTCGGTCCCAGCTGTTATTATATTTCAACTACAAAAAACTTTACCATCGATAGACCTGTTCACTGTACAACCCACTAATTCCTCAACAATTGCCATTTTTGTCAATCCAATCGTTTTTTTACAAGCTCCTCCGTTCCATCGGGCTCTTGGTATTATATTCTTTCAAATCATCCTTTTTCTTGCTCAGAATTTTGTTGGTTTATTGTTCTGTTCCATAATGCTCTAAAAGATCAGTTGAAATTGGTTCATATTATCGCTTATGACAAATTCAAGATATCCGGTCTAGCAATGAAACTTCTTAGAATGTGCAAAAAGCTTTCGACAGATAAGTTTTCTGCCAGTTTGAAATGTACTGCTCTCTCAGTGAAACATGTGAATAGAGCTACCCACCTAATAGTTATACCAGTACCAATCTTGTAGAAAGAGGATCCAAATAGTCCAATCCAACTTGTGCAAAGGTTCTGAGTGTTTGATTCGATTTTCTGGAAATTGAGGCATGACGGTAACTTGAATGGTTTAGCATTCTAGTAGCTACAACCTATGCATTGGTTTAAGACTCGTTTGACTTCTGTTCTGTCCTTCAGTATCCATAATTTATGTCTCATTTCTGAGAGTGTGTAAACAATTCAAGCATGATACAAGTCTTCATGCTATTGTCTAATCAGGAGCTCGGTTATTGGATTATGCCTCGATAGGCAGATTGGGTATTTATTATTGTCGTCTAATTCTAAGTTTTATAATTTACTTCTTGATCTCCATAATTTTCCAGTTTCATTGTAACATAAATTCCACTTATTTCATTTTCGACTACTTCTTCGGACTGTTTCAACTGGTACCCGCTAATTTGTATCGTCGATTGCGATTAGGTTTTCAGTAGACAATGATTTGAACATAGTAATTTTTCCTTTGTTGTTAGTTTTATAAACTTAAAGACCCAGGCTATCGTTCTTAATAACCTCAGCCATTTGCTAAAATGCCCACCTTTGCGACAGTATTTTTTTCCGTTTCTTCATTTTCGTTTTTTATGAACTCATACTTTCATTGTAGCCAATCAGTTTCTTTTTCTTCAATCATAGCGGTCTTTTCTACCATGGCTTATAATTTTTGAGTTTATGGAAAAAAGTTCTTTTGTTGCTACATCAACTGAGTTATGTCATTTAAAATATATAGTGGAATGAGAATTTTGTCTTTCGAGTTCCCTCGACTAGATTTCAATAGAATTTTGGAAGCAGTTTTAGAATGATTTCTTATCCAGTGCAATGCAAATTGGGAATCCTACCATAATGTTACTTATTGTGTTTTCTAGATCCAATCGCTTTATTATGAATTGAGCTATTCGCACCCCAAGCTAGTAATTCTGGAGCAATTCGAAACTTTGCAAAAATCAAAAATGGTTCTGGTCCTTTAATCCCTTAGTTTGATGCGTATATTGCTGCCGAATAAGGTATACTTGACATATTAGTGTAAACATAGATTTCCATTTGTTCTAAGGTTTTTGTTGCAAACCGCGGCAGTACTTTTACATTTATTGGTCATTCACTTATGAAGGATTCCCAATGTTCTTTGCCCTCTTCACTTATAATTTGACCCCATGAGTTATTCCTCCACAAGTCTTGGAAGAATAATTTGAATCATATCGTTATGGGAACTAAAAATTCCAATGGATCATACTGAGAGGCGACGAACTGTGGAATTGTCCTTTTAGCTAGTTTTTTTCGAATTCATAGTTTAAAGTTATTTGAAAGATATCTTTACTGAATCCACAGGTGTCGGATTAAAGTTATGCTCAAATAAAATTTCCATATTATCTAACAGACCGGGTGATGAAATTTTGTAAAATTAAAAGCAATGAAAAGGATATAAGCTAACACAGCACAAAGACTGCATAACACAAAGATGTCTCGGTACCTACACAACAATGCCAAAGGGCAGTCAGTCATACCTCCATGATAATCCCGATGGAGCTTACAAAACTCCTCCCTAATCCTTATATATACATAAGGAAAAATCCAAAACAGTTCAGTTTCTACAGTCAAACAGACAATACAGCCTCTTCGCTTATTCTCCACGACTGAACCACAAACAACGACACTATTCGCTAAATACATTTCTTGTAGCATATCCCCAACTCAACGACCTATCAACTAACCGACAGTCAAATTATTATCGAAGGCAACGACAAGGAATCTTAGTTGATCAGATTGCTTGCTTTTTGCATAGCTTATCACTGCTTACCAATTCACCGCATGATATATACATATATATATATATATAGATATACTTTACATCTTTTTTGTTGTTAACTAATAATATTGTGAGGAACAATATTACTGTCGTGACAAAAATTAAGAGAATTAGAAGATGAAGACTACTGTTCTTGTTAGTAATAAAGCAGTTATGTTTTTGAAAGAATGACTTACTGAATACTAGTTGGTTATGTGTTGAGGAGTATGGCAGTTATTCTTTATTGTTGTTCGAATAACAAATACAATAAAAATAGGTTAGAACTAATTCCGATTATAGTAGAATGAAGTCCAAATTAATAAAGTAGAATAATGGAAGAAATATTGAAGTAGCAATTCGTAAACGGAGAGGAAATAAATCAAGATTGTGTTGAATAGAGTTGAGTGGCGACGGGGAAAAAATTAACATTGGTTCTTGCTAGAGATTCTTAGGGTTTATATATGGGATGTGTGAAAAGGAACAATCATTACATATTGACAGTATTCTCACAGGTTCAAGAAAAATTTACATATAAGAACAGTTTTCTTTAGAAAAAATTGCGCAGAAATTGTTTTATCTGATGTACAGCTTTCTCACCATTGTATAAAAGATTTTGCATGGGATAAAGCCTTTACAAATTAGTTACCATATATGCACAAAACATCAGAAAAAGCACTTTTAGTAGATTAGATAGCTGACTCATGACTTTAAACATGAGAAAAAAATATATAAATGCGATCTATTTGAATGAATGATTTTATGATACATAACTATTTCAGTTTTTCCGACAATTACATCCCGAATAAATCTATATCGCCGAGAAACGAATTCAACAAATTAGCTTTCCCGATAGAAATTTTATGGTGGCACGAGCCGGGAAGGAATGTCATTTACAATAATACAGAGCGCAAACCCGACGAAGAGGAAGCTAATCAAAGTTCTTAATAAAGTGAAAGAATTGGGTCTGAGACTATTCGACAAACAATCACCTCACAAAGAGTTATACGAACATATGAAGCACGAAAAGGAACTATCAAAGAAATGATAGGAAGAAATGAAGCACATATAAGAGTGTTGGAATGCATCAACAAAGAATGGAGGGATTTTATTTGTACGATTTCTCTTCAACAACAGAAGACAGAAAATAGAAAGTACGCGGAAATGACAGAAGGTCATCAAGGAGTATTGAACCTAATAAGTTGAGGGATGGGAGCAGTGGCAACTTTAAAAAGATATGAAGACGAGAGTTTACGTAATCTCAGATCAAAAGGGGAGTTCGCGAGCGAACTATCACAACAAGAAAGAGAGGAATCTGTTCAAGCAGCTCAGAGAGCGACAGTTAAATTGATTCAACTACAACTGCCAATGTTTAGCGGAATCCTCGAAACTGGAGAGCATTCTGCAGCGGCTTTGAAGCAGTGGTATATAACCAGGACCTTTCAAACATCCAGAAACTCAATTATCTCATTTCGCGCTCAAGAAATGAAGCATTACAAGCAGTTGATGGATACGAGGTTGCGCCAAAGAATTACAATCTTGTTCGAGAGATATTTATGGAGAAATACGGTGATACGTATATTATCGCAAGTTTGTTTTGCAACGGTCTTTTCTAGTTAGGAAAAATAATCGTGAATGGAAAACAACAATCGAATGGGAGAAAATTTAGAACATACAAGTTTATAAGTAATTGTGGAAAAGAACTGGCCAAGACGCATCCTGATTAAAGTTCATGGGCAGAGATTAAAAGGTAAGTTTTGATCAGCAAACAGGTTGAGACAATTCCTAAGAGAGTTGGTGAAGTTAGAGAAAGTTGTAACTCAAAGTCAAACTTCTACTAATGAAGTCGGGAATAAGCCAACTCAATCTACCATAAATCGACAGTTCCAAAATGGCGGACAATTCAAAAATGAGACGTCGGTCTTAATTATATTAAAGCCACTGGATTAGACAGAGAACAGATTGAGAAAACTCCAACAAGA